TGTCAGAAGAGATCCATCAAGAGGACAAGGCAATTCCCAGGGCAAATGGACACAAATACACAGATCAGACTGAAATCAAGAAAGTAAAAAATGAAATCAAGAGAAGAAAGCCTATACAAAGCTCTGGTGATTGGTTGGATACTAAGGGAAATGGAAAGAAGGGTGACTCCAATAACTGAGGTGTCTGGCTTGGAAATGGAAACTCTCCTGGTACTGAGATTATGGGATATGGGACAAATTTGGGAAATATAATTTCTAAGGTCAATTTTGACTATTTTGTAAGAAACAGTGAAACCGGAGTTTGAGATGAAACTTGAGTCTCTGCTTCTACTAACAGGTGGGGTCTGTGTAAGCTTCAGCTGAATAAGTTCATTTTACTGTTAGCAGCTAATCACAGCAGGAGATGCCTGCCGGCATCAGCTTTGAGGGTCACAGTCCGCAAAGCCAGATTCTTCTCTCTACTACTAGCAGCGTACTGCAGCCATTAATGGCAGACCCTAGCAGCTCACTGCCAATTTTTTTTCCTGGTTCTTGTCTCACAGATTCAAAGAATGAAATCCATGAACAAAAATGAATGGCAAGAGGGAAAGAAATAGGATTTATTTAAATGAGAAGACAAGACATAGAACTCCCAGAAGGCACAAGGGGACTTTATACCAGGTTCTCACTCTAAACATGCTAGTCTAAGGGCTTATATAGCTTCTGGGTCCCTACCCATTGATAAAAATCCATGATAAATTAGGTATTGGAAAAGTGCTAAGACTGGAGGTTGGCCCTTTAGTCTGTAGTCTTTACTCAGTTCTCCTCTACTCTTTTATTCCCATCACCTAAGAACAAAGAAGTTGACTGGAATGTTTGGAATATTTCTACAGGTAATCTCATGGAGCATCCTTTACATTAAAAAAAAAAAAAAAGCACGCACTAATTGGGACCCATTAACTATCCTATCTTATTCTTTCCTGATGAAAATTTTGCAACAAATGCAACAGAAAGTCAGAAAAGGAGATTAATTGAAGATAGAAATATCCATGATGCTTCCAAAGGAAGCCATATATGGTCAGCAAGACTCTGACCCATCCAAGCAGATGGTACCACTGGCAGAGGAAAGCTAAAGGAGCAGGAGGCTTCTCAACAGCAAAGCTGACCAAGAGTAACTTAAACAAATGAGAGGTATTTACTTCTTATACAACAAGAGGCCCTATGATTATAGCTGATCAAGGATGTCAGAACTGAACTCTTCATAATTCTCTTGGTCTTCCCTTTGTAACATAAGATAGTTGTTTCAGTTTTCAGATCGCTATTCCAGGAAGCAGGAAGGAAGGAAATAGAGAAAATTTTGAGAGAAACAGCCTCTGCATGAGAAAAGCAAGGGCTTTCCCTGCAATTCTCAGCAAATTTCCATTTGTAGCTCATGGGCCAGAATTATGTCAGAGGCCACTCTTGACTATAAGAGAAACAGAAGAGGCCTGGCATTAGCATTTTCTTTAAAAGAGGAAAGCAAGGAAAATAGAGATCAGAATGAATTTGGACCCAAACTGTGTTATCTGTTCTAGTTACATTAAAATTGAGGTACTCATGAGACATGAATCGAGATGCTCAGGATGCTGTGACTATGTCTCTGGGACTCATGAGAATGACATGGGTGTAGATTAAGAGTGATTCTGCCATGAGGGTGAATTATCTGTCTCGGAGTGCAACTGAGGAGAGTCAAAGGTACAACTCTGGAGAAGGCCAGACTTGAAGGGCTGGGCAGCAGCAGAGAAATCCTCAAACAAGCTGTGCTTGGTAATCAGGTGTGTTGAAATTGAGCAAATTCCTGCCTCATGGGCTGTATATTCTTCATGGATTAATAGACAAGATTGTCCAATGAGACCAATGGTGTGATGCTGAAGTGAGGAGGGTAAGAGGATTGATGAAGATTTGAAGTCATCCTAGAAAGAGAGGGTTCTAACTAGAATAATAGAGACATAACTAGAAATAATGGAGAAAAGATTAGGCAGTACTGAAAGACCAGCAAGAAACTTTTATGGCATTTGTCTTAACATGTGTGACTTTTTCCGTTGTCACTGAATGGCATGTGGAAACTTGAATGGAGATAGATTGCATAGTTACAGGACTTGAAACTGTTGTATGCACCTTCAATGAAATAAAAATTGAAGAACTAGAAATGGATAGTACGGACATAAATTCAGGATTAGAATCATGGGAATGGAAGTCTTGTATGACTAAAGAACAGGGAGGAATAAAATTAGAAGAAAAGTATGTTAAGCTAAGTGCAGTGGTACACACCTATAATCCTAGACGTTCAGAAGACTGAATGAGGAGGATCACAAGTTCCAGATCAGCCTGGACAAGTCAGGAAGACCCTGTCTCAAAACAAAAGGAAAAACAGGCTGGGGATGTGGCTCAGTGCCAGATAGCTTGCCTAGCATGCATGAGGCCCTGGGTTCAATTCCTAGCATTATAAAGACATAAAAGTATGTTTTATTTGGGAAAAAAAATGCATTCAAACTTAAGATGGAAAGTAGAGCATCTATGGCTTGAATGAAAAGGTCTGAAGTTTGTTCAAATATACGGTTGAATGAAAAAAAAAAATGGGTTCATATGAACAGAATGGCAAATTGCAAAATGGAGAGATTGATAAACCAAGGTGTTACACTGGTAAATACGGACACAAAATAAAAATGTTGGTAGAAGACAGCCACAGGAAGGATCCAGGGAAAATGAACCAGAGCAAAAGGTAATAAGATGGTTTGGAAGCAGCAGCTGGGTCACAGGAAAAGGTAAACCTCTTGACTGTGCTGGGATTGCTGAGGGACTCATCAGGCAGCCTTTCCTGGAGATGGCTATACCACGGCAAGTTGTCTTTCCCCAGGGAAATTGGAGGGAATTGTAGGAAGCCTTTGAGGGTTGTGGAAGGGCTTGCTTGCCCTGGGTAGGAAAGGCAGAGGACCAGTGAGAACATGAGAAGATATACCTAAGGGGAGGAATGTGTCCCGTGCAGGATTAGAGGGGAGGAAATGGGCAGCAGCATGGCAATTTGGTTCTGGCATGAGGGTCTAAGATGGGATGGAATCTGCTAGTTTCCAGGTTTTATAAGACCTTATTCTGAATGGGTGTCAGGGAATCCAAGATGCCAGCAGATGCCTTTGCTCAAGACTCCAACAGAACATTTGGGGAAATATATCATGGAGTCCCAAAGAAAGCTGAGCCCAGGTGTGTTGATAATGCAGCAAACTCCCCGGCAACATCATCTCTTGTGGGGAAAGTAACAGGCATCTCTGGAAGAAGGCCTGCCTTTCAGGAGGGGGCAGCCAGGCCAGCACATTTTACTGACTCATGAGACATGATAGGAGTTGAGGGGAAGGTGAGCAAATGGGTCCCTATGGAATGATCTGGGTGCTGCAGGAGGTGAAAGGGTATTTTAAAAGTTAGGTGGGTGCATTAAACTATTTAGAGAGAAGAGATTTCTTTTTCATCTTAAAAATGTGATCCCATGGGGTCAATAAAGGGAGGTAAAGTTTAAAGATATTTATCTACCAGTTTAAATGGTCCAACTTGGTATTGCTCTAAAAGTACAGTAATATCACACACACACACAAAAAATGAGAAATACTACTTATTCCTTTCTGGGCAAGCTCCTTGGTAAGGAATGAAATGGGCATCCAGAGAAACTTATAACAAGAAAGAGTGGTCATGTATTAATGGGTCCAACAAAGGCACAGCTAGGGTCCTGGTAGTGCCCGTTGGTAATGCCATTACTGCAGTGGTCCATGAATTTCTTAAATCACATACTAAATGTTTGTACTCTGCACAGTGTGGAACAAGAAAATCCCTTCTCATTATCTTATTGAACTCTAGTGAGAACTGTGACAAGCTGCTTAGGAGATGGGATTCCCTTTGTGAGGGCTCCAGCAAAACTCCAAGTGTGGATATTTCTGGGATTAAGGGCATTTTAAACAATTCTCCTAAATACTGTTTGTTTGGGGTTTTTTGTACATATATAAATGCTGCGGCTCAACAAAAAGAGCTGTCCTTCATTTTGTGAATATATCTCACCAAATTTGTAATCATTCAATGAAGAAGGAAGTGAGAACTGCTAATGAGCTTTTTCATTCCAGATTGTTTTTTAAAATTCTACAAATGGGATTAATCACTTTTAGGATTAAAAAATATTCAAAAATTTTGTACAGTCTGAAAAGAATGTTTTATGAACTCTTACAGGGAGAGAGGATTTTGGCTGCATCTTACATTTCTATAGTGGCTTGACCAAGTAGGAGTTAGTTATTTGTAACATAGGAAAAAAGGATAGAGGTAGGCAGCCCAAAGTTGGCCCTAAATCTCCACTGTATCATTGTGTTTGTTCTGCTCATGGATTCATCATGGTCCCAAGATAGCTGCTCATCCTCCATGCTCATGTTTGCATCCCAAGGAAAAGAAATGGAGCAACAAAGAAAAAGTATCATCAGGGAAATAAGCTTTTCCAGAAACCCAGAGATGATGTTCATTTTTTGAGGGGGGGGGGGCTGGAACTGTGTTCCATAACCACCGTTAACACTGAGGAATAGAATTTTTAAATGTTGGGCCCATAGTTTCCTCCAACAACAAAGGGTCTTTCCATTACAAGAAAGAAAGGTAGAAGAGTGGAGAGTGTGCAGCCATAATGCAGTCTGACACAGTACTTAACATCTTTGATACCATTCTTTCCCTTCTCCACCCTTCATCATTTTGTAGTGAGCAATGAGATCAAGTGACTTAATTACATAACCAGTTCATGGCATGGCTGAATCTAAAATTCAAAGGTGCTACTCTGAGCACAGTAGTTCTCTTTCCCAATATACACCACTGTTCTCTTGTTCCATAAAATGTACAAAGTATATCCAGATATATTGATATTGCCTTTTTTTCTAACTTCCCCAACTGTATCCACTTAGATTTTTTAGATTTACTATGAGTCTGGTTAATTACTATGACAACTAATCTCTATCATTTTAATGCAGGATTGTGGCCTGTTAATTCACCCAGAGGAGAACTGTGGGTTACAACCTATTTCTCTTGAGTACATTGAAGCCATTTCACACCCTGAACTGAAGATGTGTCCATCTGGGGACATAAAAGGTGACTATCACTTTGGATATAATTTCTTCTTTAAAAATTTAATGTAGATAAGTATAAGCTTATTTACACTATCATTGTAAGAGAAAAAAGGCATAAATTTTTTCATTAGTATGAATTACAATACACATAAAAATATAAATGCGTGATTTTAATATTCAATATATTTTGATTAATCAAATTCTTTTCTCTTCATCTTCCCACTTTGAAGTACCTTCTGCTTATCTGCAAATCTCAATTCAAGAATTACTTCTGCCAGGGACCCCTCCTTAATCCTCAAACCCATTTCCTTTTTTATTTCACAGCACTGTACTTTTCTTTCATAGTAATTATCACAGTTGTTTAAAGAATTAGCTATGTAGCTAGTTGTTAGATGTCAGTTTTCCCAAGATATTAGCTTCAGGACGGCAAGGTGTCTGACTTGTTGATATCATATCGATTTACTTGGCGCCACTATTTGTACATAGTAGGCAGAGAATAAATATCAGTGATGAATCAAAGAACTACAAAGGCTTTAGGTTCAGTTAGAAAGAATTTCTTTTAATTTTAAAGAATTCTTGAGAAGGATCATTACTGCTCTCCCACTTACAAGTAGGAAAATTAAAACCTTGAATCCAAATTACAGTCTTATATCCTGCCTAAGCCTTGAGCAGAACTGGAATGAGACACATCTTTGGTGCCACTCTCCCCATTCCCTGTTTTTCCTTCCCTAGCGATGGTCTCTCAGTGCAGAGAGTGGCATCAAGCAAAAGCTGGGACTAAAATTGCATCCAAAGTGATTATGGGAGCAGGGAGCAGCTTCTCCAAGCTTCCCAGTTACCATTCTGTCTTCCTGGCCCCTGGTCTCCCTTCATCTAGCAAGTCTGAGAAAACGTTCAGGAGCTTGCCATGAACTTCACACCACTGCTTGAATAGGAAATGTGTTTCCCAAATGGGCAGGGCAAATTGCAATTTGGCATGCATGGTTAGCCAACGTGGGCAGGTCCCCATTCTTAGACATGTGTTCTAAATAATAAATTCCAGTCAGTGTATGAGAAGGGATTTACCCATTATGGTGTGTCAGGTAGTATGATTTGTGATTTTCTGCTAAAGGAAACACGTACTCTTAATGTACAAAGGAGATACCGATGTGTCTGGTTAACTATTTTTTTTTTAAATCAGTTGACAATTTATGACAATCATAAAACAACTTAATTCTATTCCTCTGACTGCACCAAGTCAAAAGTTCTTCCACAATAAGTTCAAGATACATTACTGGGATTCCTCAAGAAAAGGCAGCTTGTTCTGCACATTAAACGTGCCGTCTCTTATGTCAGGTTTGGTTGTGTGCTGTCTCTGTGTTAGGACCTTCCAGGAGAGGCTGTCAGTTGGGCCCTCTGAAAAGATCTCCTAATTGACTGCCAAATCAAGCTCATGCTCTTTTGCTTAAAAATTCAAGGCCTCCTTATACCAGTTCCTCTTCTCTCTCTCATCTCCAGCCTCCTTGCCTCAAATATTCCAACAACTCAGCTCCAGGCAGGACTCCAGGCTCACATCCACACTGTTCCCATACACTACAAGTCCTCTTCCTGCCATTGCCTAACTTCCTCTGATGCTTATCTCCCTCTCCAAGAAGCCTTTCTTCTCTACCAGATTGCTAGTTTGGTGTCGCCTCTGTGTTCCACAGCACTCCTGGGCACAGATTTACGATAGCACTTAGAAGTGGGTACTTACAAGTTCCTCTCTATGGTCTATGATCAGAGATCTCCAAAACGGAATGATACACACCAGGAAGGGGAGGGATCAGCAAGAGGCACTCCCAGAGGTGAAGTCAGTACAGATACAAATAGATGTGTGCTTTTTTTTTCTAGCCTTTTTTATTTTTATGTTTTATAATGGACATAATATATAAGTGTCAACATATCTATACACGTGTTACAATGTACGTATAATAGACGTCAAGGGTGCATTAGCAGTAATGCTTCTACTGATGGTTTCCCTAGATTACTTGTTTTCCCAGGGCACACGTTGTTCCTGTTCATCCTTCAATGTCTAATATATGTCTGAAAAATGGTTGCTGAACTAAAACTAAGATCCAAACCATCCTCCCTTCCACAGAAGATTGTGAGAAGCCAGGACACAATGATAAGGATAAACTTCTCCCCACTGGAGCTCCTAAGGGCCTAAAAACTGAAAATTAACAAGTGAGACCAGGATGGTAACTTCCAAGAATGTATTTTTTTTTTTGATGCCAGAGATAATTTCCTTCCTTAATAGCAGGATTCCCTCCTAATGAAAGAAGTCATGGCAGGTGACACTGAAAGGAAGCTTATTCAGGTGCTCTTAGGTTTAGCTTACATAGCCAAACATAGCCAACAGTCATGTTCAAAAATCTTAAAGAGCACATGACATTTACTCAGCAAAACTGAATGCATTTTTTTTTCCACTTTGCAATGTAATGATGTCAAAAGTCTTTTTCATTAGCTTTAGCTAATGTACTTTTGAATAACTATATTTTAATTCTTAAATTGATGTCAATCATTTAGGAAATAATTCAACTAAGACATAATCTTAAGGATTGCTTAAGAAAGAAGCAATTCTTCTAAATTGGAGAAAGAAGGAATGTATACAGTAGTTAATGAATGATATTTAACTTTAAGGAAAGTAACTCAAATGGCATTTTATGATATGAAAACTATTAAAATATTTCATGACACCTTATATTTAGCAGGGAAACATGACATAAATCTAACATTATTCATATTGAATATATAAATGATATTTTTTTCTTCATAATAAAAAACACTTTATTTTATAATATTAGAGAGACAGGAATTAGTGATAGCATTTATATGACTTTACATCTCACCACAGTTCTGAATCACAGAGTTGTATCAACCACTCTGATTCGCTTAAATATCTAAAATCTAGTTTGCATTAAACATAGATCTATAACTATAAATAAAATAACTTCTTCTAAAAGATAGTTTCATTCAGCAGAATGTTATTCCTTAAAACATATGTCATACTTTATTTCAGAAATCACAGCTTTGATTCATTCAGTGTTTAAATATATAACGTAGAATTTATGTCCCTTTTTCTGGCAATTTTAGTTAAGAGCTGGTGTCACTTAAAATGTCAAGAACCCCAATCCTGCAGATGTTATACAGATGGCTATTGCAAGCAGTATCAGTAACCCACAATAAATAAAAGGCATTGTTCACCCATACAAAAATGCAAAAGTTATGACTGTATAAATATATAGTAGTGTGAACCATTGGGGCCAAGTTTTCAGAGACCAATTCAAGTCTCCTTTTTATGTGCACGCAATGTTATGCCCACAAACTAATTACACCCATATTTGAGTCTTTGTGCATTCAATTGACCACTTGTTTCTTCATCCTTATCAGCAAGTGGCCAAGGAGGGCCTGTTTGTAAAAAATGAGCTGTCAGTAAGGTTGTGGGTGGAGAGTGCCTGGGTTAGAGGTGGGATGCATGTTCGCTTAGATACTCGGCCATCTGATGAAAATGTTCAGAGAAACATTTATGCTCCCAATGTCCTGTTGTCTATTATAAAGAAAATTGACAATCTTTGTTTAAACATAGTCTCTATCAACCCATGAACCCACTGAGTAAATTCAGTTTTTATAAAACAAAGGAAAAATCATCATAACAACCAGTTTGCGGGTTTTCCTATAAATGCTACCAAAGAGACTGTTGGGCCATATTTCATTTTCGACTGATGGTTTTATGCTGACCTTGCCTAACGTGATAAAAGAGGAGCAAGTTGCAGACTCTTGGTAATGGTCCAGCCCTGTCAGGAACAGCATGACCCCACTTTATGTCCTTTAACTCTTTAGGACCCTAGTTTGCCTCATTTATAAAACAAGAGGATGGGAAAATGAGCTGAAGTATCTTCTGCTCTAACCAAAATAATTCTGCACATTGCTGAATGCAAATCTCCGTAATGAAAAGACTAAGCCTTTCTCCAAGGAGGTTTACTGGGGGGGAATTCATCAAGAAATATTAAACTTTAGGTTATGTCTAATCAAAGAGTATTAAAGGAGCTACAGATGTGAATGAGGTTGTTTACTGATTGTAAACCATGTATGTTAGAGCAAAATTGGAGTAAGGTATCAAGATATATTCTGAATGAAAAGAGAGAAGAATTATAAAAAGAGAATTGGCAAAGAGAAATGGGCACATTTGAGGATAACCTGAATTTCTCCATTCAAAACCAGTACACATCCCACATTTTCTGTCTTTTAATAATATTACTACTTTCTCCATCTGGAAATTTTGGAAATACCTTTCACCTAACAGACCCTCTTCCTCCACATTCCCGCCAAAATATGCCATCTATGTGGAGGTCTGTCAGTTCTTTTGCCTCACATCTCTAAGGCCCATCTCTTCACTGTAAAGAGTACCCTAAAGTACCGTGCCTTCCATGTCTCCAAATCTTATCTACCCATAAAGTCTTGTTCACATTTTATGCTTCCAGAAAACTCTGACCTTCTTGACTCTCTTGATTCTAAACTGCTTTGGCCTGCTTGCCGTTAGGGTGTGGGAGTAAAATATATTCATTAAACTGGATGTCGGGCATCATGTCAGGTACTGTACTTATTTTCCTTACAAAGAAGCATGTTGAATCATAAAAAGACTAATTTAAACAGTGTATTGCAGCCTTGACTTTGTATTGGAATCAAGGAAAACAGTCCCATGTCTGGTGATTCTGACATAATCAGTCTGGGGTACAACCCCGGTATGGGTATTTTAAAAAGCTTTCTGGGTAATGCTAATTTGCAATCAATATTGAGGTCTTCAGGATTTGTTAGAGGCAACAGAGACCAGATGTGTGTGTCTCCAAATTCTAGGCTCTTTCACTACCACACAGATATAACGGTCAATTTTACATTTCTTGTTATGATGGTATAATTATTTTACATGTATAAATTATATCCCTTGAACCCAAATATCAATTTTGAGAACTCAGAATTATAGTTAAGAACATGGGTCCTAGAAAGATAGTCCAGTTCAAATCCTGGTTCTTGGAGGTCAACAAGCTAAACTTTCTGAACATCAGTTAAGGTGGTTATAATAGGATAGGTTTGAAGTTTAAATTAGTTAATATATTAAAGCACTCTCTGGTATGTGGAGATGCAATTAAAATCCTGTTTTTTAAATTACTATGATATTTTAACAACAATGGCTCCTAACACCTCAGCAGGATAGATCTTAATGTATTAAATTAAAAAACGTTGGTTGAGTGATATGTATGTGGAGAAATAGGGTGTCACTCCCCAGTTCTGAAATTATGTAGAAAGTACAGAGTGAGTAGACATTGAATGAAACAGTTTTTTCTGGAATTCTCATTACACTGAAAAAGCAAAGCAAAGCAAAGCAAAAAAAAAAAAAAAATGGCAAAAGGAACGAATATGTCTGCATTGCTTTTGAATTTTAGTTCTGCAATTCTGCTCCATTTGATTTTGTACCCCTAAAGTGATTCTGTTATATATTTTCTTCCTTTCCTTGAAATTCATAATTTCTCATCTCCTTTGCCTTGTATTTTCTTTTCTCTCTTCCAGTTTCTCTCTCTAAAATGCTCATATTTTTTCCTTTCCGTGATGAATCAATACAAGCTATAAACTATAATCCCTTTTATGTTTTATTATTTGTAACTATTTCCACAAACACATACACAGCTCTGACATCCCTGAGGTCATGAATGTGAAATGTATTATATTCATGCCCTGAAAAGAAATTCTTCCCAGTAAAATTCATATCACACTAGAGACTTTTACTAGCAGCACCACAAATCAGACCCAGAATGGATGAAGTTTTTAAATTGTTTTCTTTCTTAATTCAGAAAAGTAGGGGAAGTCTGCAGGTAACTAAGCCCTTTAAGTATATTATTCCATTACATCCTCACACCAATCATATGAGAACATGATACATCTCATCTAATAGATGAAGAAATGACATCCTTGAGGTCATGAAACCTTCAGCCAGAAAGAGCTGAAAAAGACTGACACCAAAACACATTAATCAAATTGAAGATTAATAGCTTTTCTCCAAAATAATGAAATATCAGAATACAGAAGTAGTTCTCTTGTACCTTAAATCTGTTGAGAGCAGGGAAAATATCTATTATTGGATTAGCAATCTAAGAATGTATAAGTTTACTATATATTTGGGACCTACTAACAATTTGAAGGGCTCTTAATCTACTTCATTCCTATTGATTAAAGGAGCAGTGATATACTGTTTAAAAATAAGTAATAATTGAGTAGTACCTGATCACTTAATATTTTTTTTTTGATGTAAGTATATGGTTTCATGGAACAGAGCTCATACTTAATTTCAACGTGAGCTGTGCTATTTCAGAACATTACTTCAGCTCTTCTATTTGGTTGGCAGAAGGCCATGCATTGCTCCACTGGATTTATATGATAAGAATAATCTTCTCACTATAATTTCTATAATTGTGTGCCATACGCTGGATTCTCAAGTTACTTGAAAACTATAATTTTGCCAGTAGAAACCAAACCAAAGGAAGTTTTGCCATCTGTTCCAGGCCAGTGGATCGTGCCTTGCCTTAGTTGTTCAGACAACAGGACCTGTGACTGGAGAGAAATAACTTGGCAGCCCCACAACTGCCAACATGGTGTCCTAACTAAGCCTCAGCTCCAGCAGTGCCTGGGAGGAAGGAAGGTAGGTGCTGGCTGCATCCAGTCCTGTCGGGGAAGCCTTCAATTTTTTCTGCCTGCAGCTCTAAAAACCAGGTGGTTGTATATTCTAGACCAATTTGTTGCCTTCACTCACAGAGGAAACTAATTGAATGCAACTTGGCTTTTTAATTATATGTAGATGGTATCATAGAAGAGCTTTAACAATTCTTGCTCAAAATATTCATTTTTATCTCCATCAGTCTACTTGACAGATGGAGGATATTAAAGTCGTGTCCTGCGCTGACCCAATTCCATGCTGTTCTTGCAGCACAAGTTGTTAGGAGCTTGCCACGTCAACTGACAGTTGGCAGTTCCGAGCAGCTGGCCTTGTCAACCACAGCTCTTGGGGCACTGCTGTTAAGACAGACATCTGTAGCTCAGCTCAAGAAATCAAATGCATGCAAAACGCACTTCTTGTAGAACTTACCAAGTGCATGGCAAATTGTTTTTACCCTCTAACCTTGCTGATCTTCTTTCGCATTCCTGGGCAGGTCTCACATGGACCTCACTAGACTGATTTTCCCTTTAGTGAGGCTTCTAAGCTGATTTCTTGGACATGCATTGTCTTCTTGCTAGGCATGCTCTGAGTAGGTAGAGTCCGGCAGAACTCTCAGACATGCGAAACGGGCTCATAGACTGAGATGCTTGCTTAATAACACCAAGTAAGTAATCTTCACCAGATTTTTCAAGTACTTTTTATTAGATGAACATTTCCTTATACACTGTGTGTAAGATCTCACACATGGGCATGATTTCAAAAGCTGAATTTTACAAAATTATATTTATGCATTAAAAAAAAACCCTGGAGGCAGGGTGTGAAGGTGCACACCTGTAATCCTAGCAAGGAGGGTGGCTGAAGCAGGAGGATCATGAATTCAAAGCCAGCCTCAGCAACTTAGTGAGACCCTAAGCAACTTGGTGAAACTGTAGCTTTAAATAAAATATTTAAAAAGGGTTGGAGATATGGATCTATATTTGCCACTGGTTAAAAAAAAAAAAAAACAAAACCCTGTGGATAGAATATTAGCCAAATTTTCTGCTAGCAACTGGTTTAAGAAGCATGACAGGAAGTGAGGGGCACAACAGGAAGATATCTTCTTCATGATTTCAATAGAAATGCCTCAGTTTTCACAATTAAGGATATCTCTACTGATAAAGCAGCAATATTAATTTGTACAAAAGGGAAAAAAAGGAAAACAATTACTTAGAAACCTATGTTGCCATCAGTAATATTAACTGAGCATTGATTCTGTGTGGGGAACGATGTGGCTAACCTTCTTATACCTTAAATCCCAACCGACTGTAAGCTTCATGAGGGCAGGGAATGTATTTGATTCATTGCTATAACCTGATTGCTAAGCACAATTGTTGATACATAATCATCCCTCAATATTTGTAAGGCTGAGGATTTAGATCAGTGCTAGAGCATATGCTTAGCATGTGCAAGGCTCTGTCTGGGATTAAACTGCAATACCAACAAATAAATAAATATTGGTTGAGTAAATGAATGAATTAAAATCTTTTTTACTCCTAATCATAACTCCGTAACAATAACATATTAATATTATTAGTAGAATAATATTAGTAATAATTTTTCTTCTTAAGAAAATCCAAGTTCTGAGAGATTGGGTAATACGCAGTCACTGCAGAAGCGTGGGAATGGCTGTGACTCAGGCACTTTGAACCCCCAGCTTGGACATCCACCCTTCATAGCTTAGAAGCACAGCACGAGAAGCCATGACAATCACTGTTGCCACACTGACCAGATGTCTCTAAACTCAGAATACCATTCTGACCTCAGAATTTAGAGTATTCAGTAAAATTCCAAGAAGATGTCACAGTTTATTAACCTGAAAAGCAGTAGATATTAAGTTTATCGCTAAATTCTGTGGTTTGGGATGGGACACGTATTGTTTCTCAGCTCATTTTCTTCATCTGTAAAATAATAAGTAAACATGAGCTACTTATGTTTAAGCCTCTACTATGGATTAATTTATTTTATAGAAAGCTAAAAGCCTTCTTTCCTGCCTTAGCTGGGAATGCTTTAATAAAATACCATAAACTGGGTAGCTCAAAAACAGATATATATTTCCTACAGCTCTGGATATTGAGGAGTCTGAGATCAGGATGCCAGCGTGGTCAGGTGCTGGTGAGAGTCCTCTTCCTGGTTTCTGGTGACTGCCTTCCTGTAGTCTTTATGCAGTAAAAAGAGAAAGAGCTTTGGTCTCTTTCTTTTATAAGGACACAACTTCATCGTGGAGGCTCATGATCCTTCTAAATAAACATAATTAACTCCTGAGCTCTCACCTCTTGATATGGTCACACTGTGAGTTACTAGTTCAACACATGAATTTGGAGGGGACATAAGAATTCAGTCCATATCACAGTCTCTAGTAATTTCTTTTTTATGTATTTTTTAATGATACATGACAGCAGAATGCATTACAATTCTTATTACATATATAGAGCACAATTTTTCATATCTCTGGTCGTATACATAGTATATTCACATCAATTCGTGTCTTCACACATGTACTTTGTATAATAATGATCCCCTCTCTTTTCCCCTCCAACCTCTCTGCCCTATCTAGAGTTCGTCCATTTCTTCCATGCTCCCTCTCCCTATCCCACTATGAATCAGCCTCCTTAATTCAAAGGAAACATTCAGCATTTGTTTTTTTTTTTTTTGGGGGGGGGGGATTAGCTAACTTCACTTAGCATTATCTTCTCTAACTCCATCCATTTACCCACAAATGCCATGATTTTATTCTCTTTTATTGCTGAGTAATATTCCATTATGTATATATGCCACATTTTTTTTTTTATCCATTCATCTACTGAAGGGCATCTAGGTTGGTTCCACAGTTTAGCTATTGTGAATTGTGCTGCTATAAACATTGATGTGGCTATGCCCCTGAATTATGCTCTTTTTAAGTCCTTTTGGACTTAGCTGATTTTTTACAACTGTACAAGATAATGGTAAGGGACTAGGGATATAGCTCAGTTGATAGAGTGCTTGCCTCACATGCAACAAGGCCCTGGGTACAATTCCCAGCACCACAAAATAAATAAATAAATAAATATTAAAAAAAATAAAGATAATGGTAAGGAGGGTGGATCATTTTTTTCTACTTGTTAGCAATAAACATTGGTTGTTGCAAAGTCAATAGTCTCCTATGCTCAGATTAGGTGACTCCAGCAGAGACCAACCAGCTTCCTGCTTAACAGAGAGGGCTAATTGTATTACTTCACCTAGTCCAGAGTCTTCCTTGAGACCTGTGTGCTCAGAAACTCACATTTTCCAAAACACTGGCACTGGTCCTACGAATCTGATTTGTTTTCCAAGATTCTAATTTATTTTATATACAAACAGAGAAGCATTGTCCCCTTTTAACAGAGGAGTGGCATAACCAGGACTAGAAAGATCTTCCCTTAGCAGAAGGGAAACTGCCTAAGAAGGAAATGGATGCTAGGGAGACTGAGGCTGTTTATGGAAAAATTCCAACATGAACAAAGCAAGATATAGAATAACCTAGATATAATAATAATAATCAAGATATAGAATATAGAATAATTATTCTATAGAATAATCCCATTGATGTAAAACCTAATGCATACAAACAAACATGCTTGCCTCCACAGAGAATTTCTGGAAGTCACAAATTGATAAGAGTGAATGCAATAGGTGGAGAGGAGTGGAGGAGGGGTAGGGTACAAAATGAAATATAGGACCCTGTGTTAAAACATTATTAAGAATCCCAATGCAATGGTGGGACAATAAACCAAGCACAGAACTCTTCCAAGCACAAGCCCTGTGAGACTGTCCAGATCACATGCCCACGAAAGCAGCTTAGGTAATAGAGCATGACTGGGGAGGAGAGCAGAGATATTTTTATGTGTGTTTTCATTTTCACAATATGTGAACATTGTTTTCTTAAACTAAAACTGTATATGTTAGGGTTGGAGGTATGGCTCAGGGATAGAACACTGTCTATTGCTGGCATGAGACTCGGGGTTCAATTCCCAGCACTGCCATCAATCCATAAATCAACCAATAAAAACAAAAATCTATATTTTAAAGGTTTGTCTAAATTATAACTAGCCCAGAACTAGTGGAAATGCAAAGGAGGGAGATCCTGAGAAAGATATTTCACTTTGAGACACAGGATTTGGTAATATAGTCAGATGCCTACATTAATAAGGCTCGTAAAGTAGAGATAATTATAAACATTGAAAGCTGCAACTATGTTATAGCACTTGGTTTAGGTAAGCTCCGTATATTAACTGGAGTAGGTAAGCAAAAGGTTTCCCAGTTTATTTGTTTTTTACTTTCCAGTAGAATAATAAAAATATACTAAGTACTCCTTAATTCTCATGCCTGATTACTAAGACAAATAAGTTCTCATCCTAGTCAGAATTTTAATAATTACCATACTATTCTAAAGACAAATAAATCTTAAGGCATAACAATTACATAAATGTAAGAAAAAGTAATACAAATGTTTTTCTTTTTCTTTTTATTTATTTTTATTTTTTTTTAGATGTTGATGGACCTTTATTTTATTCATTTATTTATATGTAGTGCTGATAATCAAAGCCTCACACATGCTAGACAAGCCTCACACATGCTAGACAAGTGCTCGACCAGCAGCTTGTGGCTACAACTCCAACCCAAGGGGGGCACTTTTACTACTGAGCTGCATCCCCAGTTATCTAAATTTTCTTTTTTAATATTTATTTTTATTTTTCAGTTTTCGGCAGACACAACATCTTTGTTTGTATGTGGTGCTGAGGATCGAACCCGGGCCGCACGCATGCCAGGCAAGCATGCTACTGCTTGAGCCACATCCCCAGCCCATGTTTTTCTTTTTAAATGTATTGTATGCTGACTTTTTTTGGTATCTGTTCCTACCATGTCAAATATTCAATAAAAGTAATATATTACTTTAGCAAAATTCACTTAACATGTACATAAGGACAATG